GATAATACACTTTATTATTGCATCTACCACGATGAATAACAACAACCTTTTCCTCGAGAACTTTTTTATACACAATAACAAAAGAAGCCATCCATAAAAAGGAACATTACTGACTCAAACATACAAATCAAATTATGTAACCCAGGGGTTTTCACAGGCGGGGAAAACTATTTGAATTGAACTTGTTTTGTGAGAGAAACTTTCCACTAGATGGTCAAACCAGACGGGCAAAATCATCCTCACAGCTGGCCAATTTACACAGTGCCTGCCTGATGTAACCATATTTGTATCAGTGAGAGATCTTTTTGTGACACAATTTTTTTGCTTTTGTCTTGTATTGTGACAAGAATTACATAAATGAACATGTTTTTGGGTTAGAAGGGGAAGGAACCCAGAAGTGAATGGGGAAGGAACTCTATACTATGGAAGTTAGGAGAGAGGGTAGGAAGTGAGATTCCCAAGGTGACAGGAACCATAATAGAAAAGGAAAGCTTTTGCAATAATGTTATGCAACTATGAAGAAACCACAAAGAAATTCGAACCATAAAAAAGTGGCCTGTGTGCAGGCTCTTATGTGCTGCAGCGCAACCAAAGGCGAAGTCACAATAGACGAGCATGCACGCTAAGAGTGCCAGTGAGAGGTGTGACTTGTTCTGCAGCGCATGAGAGCTTGCTTGCAGGTACGTAGGAAGGGGTGCGATCTGGGAGTAAAAGCCATATGGGATGTGGAAGTTCAGCACCTTCTGTCCCTTTCCTCCTTTGTGGATGAAACGTGTTCCTTAAGGGGGAATTGTGCCACCTATTTATGTGACGTCTTGAGATGTAGAAGGCTTGTTGATTCATTAAAATCCCATATTGTTATTTGGAGTGATTTTCCCATTTTAGCTGATACGAAAATACTCTATGATGGTTAAAGAAAGCTTGAACTCTGTACATTATACTGCCATGAAACACTCCGAGCATTTGAGAACACTCGAGAAGTGCAGAAAGATTCGCCTGCCATATGTTTTTTTCTAATTTTTTTTTGTTTTAATTTCAAATCCCTGCCGTGTTTTATGGCCATATAATACATGATTTAGATTTCTTCCTCTTCACGGGGGAGGGAGGAAGGCTTTTTGTATCTCAGATATGGGGGGCTTATTTTCGGGGGGGGGGGGTTATTGAATTTTACAGGAGATGAAGGCACACTTACAAATTTTCTTTTTCTACAGAGACTGTCAAGTGGCAGACTGGAAAAAGCACAAAGTTACTTGCACTACTTCCAAAGAACCCAAGGCAAAGGGCAGACGTGTCTGGAGTTTGTTTTGGTTCGACGAAATAGGATTGTAAGCAGATTTTTGTCTGTGCAAGAGGGGTGACTTGCCCACTGTATACATGCTTTTAAAGATGATTTCCAGTCCGTACTGCGCACTCTCCCCAATTTTTTTTTTTTTTTGCGTTTTTGTTTTGCGTCATGTAAGACATCACAAAATGTAAACATTTCGCAACCAAAGTAAATTCAAAGTTTCAAAACAACCGCCATCATGGGTGCAAAGCGCGCGGTTGAAGTTTTATGCCTCGTTCTTTCTCATATCACTTGATGAAACAACTTCGCAGCTGTAAAAATCAATGAAGCTTTTGGAAAAAGAATTTGAAAGGCCTCAAAGATAAGGTATGTGGTTCGTAACGAATAACATCGATTCACATTCCATCGAGCGAGATTTACAATGTTTATAAACATTAGGATGCTGAGATTGTGCGGTACGTCAAAGATAACAAAAATGTTTGTTACAGCTGTACAGCTGTTTTCTATCGCGGTCAAAAATATTTTAACTCTCTTTCCCTTGAGATCACTGGCTCTTCATCTCTTGGATCCTTCAGGAAAAAACATAAAACATCTATCATCAGCAATTACTAATTCTTTTAAGCGTACAAATATGGCTTGCCAATACGTCATTCACTATAATGTATAGTTTTAGTCATCTTGTATTTTTAGGGAGGAAACCTAAGTTTACAAGCCCTGTGGTTTTTATTTGGTTCCCTCGCCATTTTTTTTTTCTGTATTTGTTTTGCATACTTATAATTGTAATATCTTTGTATCTTTTTTTTGATGCCAGATGAAATAAATAAAGTAGAGTTTTTTAGTACTCGGTATCATCCTGAAGACGCGTTTGAGCTTGGTCGAACGCCTCGCATTTTTTTAGGTGCGATTTCAAAATGGCATATTGCGAGTATTTCATGAGTATTTATTCCCTCTTGCTTTCGGAATATTAGTTTTTGGAGTTTGAAATGGAAAGAAAGAATGCCATAGAATACTAAACCGGCAAAGAAGTGCACATCAAGGTCTTAAAAGTTATAAAGTGATACTAAATAAAGTTTTGTATGATCGACTGACTAACTGAAATTAAAACACTTTGTCCAGTTTGAAATGTTACATAGTACAATTGTCCATTGTCGGCTATTACCCAACACTTTCGCCTGGTCACCATTTATTAAGCGATGACGTCATCGTCATCGGTTCTAACTGGCGAGCAGCATTTTTTTGGATTAGTGACTTCGCACTTTTTTCGGGCTCCGCTTATGTCACGCATGATTTACCCCCCTGTGGAAGCGAAATGCACTCTGGGAGCATAATAAACACCAAAAATTCGCCATCTTTGGTTTTTGCGGCCGACCTTTGGAACTTGTAGGATCCGCGGAGTGCCTTTTTTTTCAGCTTTTAAGCGAAGATTTTGAGTGTGGATCGTGCTTTATCGAGTATCGGATAAATTTGCGCTCACGGACAAACTCATAATAAGAACATATCGTCCATTTATTACAACTTTAGATCGACAAGCAAGTCGCACACTTGATAGGTCAAGGGTCCATATTAAATTTACGTATTGGTGAGCGTTGTTTAGGCCGGGTCTTTGCCTGTCTTGAATTGAATTGAATGAACACCGTCTGTCACAGCACTGTATGAGCATTGTATGAGCATTGTATGAGCACTGAAATATCTGAACTAAACTTATCTGTGGACTGAAATATTTGGTGAAATTGGACTTGAATTGAAGAAGAGCATTGAAACCAGTTGGCTGTGAAACCAGTTGAGATGGCAGAAAGCAACGGAGAACAGTGTAACGAAAAGGTGAGCTACCTGAAGGTTTTGTCTTGATCTGAATTGGTTTGTTGCTTAGATCATGGTTTCTTTAATGCAACACAGAGCGGCGGTAGGGTTACACAACATTCATTTGAATGCCAAAGAATACTTAAGTTGTGCAAGAGGAAAGTTCTCGTCTATGCTATTGTTTAAGTTTTACCTGGAGGCGATATATCTTCCAACTTTAAAAAAGTAATCCGCTCGTGGCAAATGAGTTAGTATGCAAGGTTTTGTTTCACTCAAATGAGTGTGTATCGTTTTTACATTCCTTTGTTGATTCGACTAGCTAATGATGTGGAAATGAATCCTGGGCGTTGTTACCGTGTGGATTGTTCTAAAACTGTCACGGCTGACTATCATCAAGGTGACGTTTCACTGTTTGGAATGAGTGCCAGTAAACAAAGTGTAGCTGGAGACTGACCGGAGTTGTTTTCAATGATTGTTGTATTGCATCTTGGTGTAGAGAAAAGCTAAATGAAATATTGATGCAAGGTAATGTTATGTATTCTCACATTAGTAATTTAGCAGGAGAGGACTTTTTGTTATTTTAAACTGATAAGATGCTCGCGATATGTGCGACCCTGATGTCGCATAACTATGTCGGCGACATTTTAAGATCAAAGAACCCTATAATCGAAGCAGGTCAGTATCCTGCCTAATGGCCTTGAAAAAACATTCTTTTTCTTTTGTTGCAATGTCAATCCAATTAGATTTCAAAACACAAGCACGCCTTGTGCACAGAACTCTTGCTTCAACATTTTCCCAATTGTCACAAAACGTTAACAGTTGCAATTCTTCTGTACGGGCCCAGTAAAACGACGAACACTCGCAGAATTCGACATAGCAATTCAATCCGGTAGTATTACATCGAGACTTGTAATCCGACTCTTCAAGCAACAGAAAAACACACACGCAACAAGCACTCACACCCACACCCACTCGCATATAATTGAAATGTTCTACAGTCCCTTGGGACGTCTGATTGCACGCCCATAACGTTTCCTGTATTTGACATCTTTGTGGGCTTCTACATTTTCAGTATGGCGAACCACTTTAATCCGCGCGAATTTCAACGCTTTCAGTTTTCATAGCACAGTGGAAATGACTCGCAGCCGATTTGCTTTCAACAGCAAAACGCACAGCTACAAGCAGCTTCGTCGTTACCTCCGAGTCTAGAGCAGCCTTCTGTTTCACAACAGAAACATTCTCGGGAGAGAAAACGTCTAAAAAGAAAAAGTCAAGCCACAGGGAGCAATGATGCTGTAACGATGAGAAAGTGCTTTTCAGCTTTGGGCCGATGATATAATAGTTATTATCAGAATGGTATCGTATATCTTTTATGTCGCAAACGTGCGTCCCCAGTAACCCTCTGGGGGTAAATGCTCCGACAAACTTGTGTAACAAAAACAAAACAAGTCCGCAGCGCGACACATGCCTTACGTTTGAGCATCCGTTTGTTTGTTTCTTTTCCAATTTTCTAGACAGAATTTTAGAAATGGCAGTTGAATGTCATCGCTTCTGCATGCATTGCGTGCCGTTTATACTCCTTGTTGGAGACTAAAAAACACAACCCAGTGACTCTGGCCATGGATTGAACTGGGCCATTCAGGACGGAAAGGGCACCAACGATTATTCCCTGGCAAACGTCAGTATTCGGAAGTCTTCAGTGATAAATTGGCACACACTCGGCCAGTCAGCGTGCAGACACTTGTTGTGTTGATTACACTTTGAAAGCTGATTACTCTTTGAATTTCCTAAGTAGGGGCTTTACCACTCTTGATAAGGAGCTAAGTGGTCAAGGAAAACTGTCAGCTTCTCTTGCTCAGCAAACATGGCCCAGAAAAAGGCTTTCTTACTTGTGAATTTGTTTAAAGCTCCAAGGACACCACATTCCATTATTACGTTGAAGATTTCTGGACTTTTAATGTCACAATCTATGGTGAGGCTTTTGTCATAAGCAATCATCGACTGCAGTGGATGGCTATTCAGAGATTGTGTTTGAACCTTTATGATGAATTTCTGACGAGTGTTGCGTTTGAGTTTGGGCCCCTCTCCAATACCTTTTAAATGAGTGCCAAATATTCGCATTGCGCATTGTTGCCCGTTTGGTTTCAAATGAGGAATAGTGTCGACTGTTACAGAATAGCGACCCTTGAGGGCAAAACATAATGTCTTGTGTGTGGGTCTGTGTTTACTTCGACATTCCTTGCTGCAGTAAGATGCAATGTGACAATTGGAGCACATCATGAGGGGTTCTACGTCATTTCTTGACCGACGGCAATACGTGCAGCCGCTGTAAGGTCGTGCACAAACTTCTCTGGGATGATACATGCCTTCTCTGTTGTTAAACTCCTTGTTTGCGTGCAGAAAGGGAGGATTTGAATAAAACTTCTTTTCTCCAGGTACAAGACGTAGTGCAGCATTGACTTCCTTTATTTTACTGCAATCTATTTCAAGGGAACCATTCTGGTTTTCATACTCGAGCCATGGGCCACTATGATCTCGAACAATGTTTGATTCCAGATAAACTCGTCCGGAAAAATTGACACCAATGAAAATGCCACCACATTTGTTGCCGGAAAGAACATTTCTTGCTATGTGAGCTGACGTTCGCGATTTGGCGAGGATCCCCCAGAATCCATTCTCAAATATCTTGTTGTCGCTGATCACGAGTTGAGAATTATTATCCAGAGAAAGACCAAAGGATCTGTTGTGATGAATATCATTTTTTCGTATGACAATCTTGGTCTTGTTTCGGACGGCAAAAATCCCTTCTCCTGCATTTTCGAAGATCTTATTACCATCGATGTCACATTCGCCTGCATCTGGGCCGATCAAGATGCCGTGAAAACCACTGTCAAATAACCTGTTTTCGGACGCTATGAGTTCCCCACCTTCTCTTGCTTCTAAACCAGCCTGGTGGTTTCGGTACACTTCACATTTTTTGACCAATAATCGAGAACCTTTGCCAACAACTAGCGCGCCTCCACCTCCACAGTCACAAATGACGCAGTTTTCTATCAGTGCAGAGCTCCCACATAACACCTGGATTCCAGGAGAACCACCAATGCCAGACTTTGATTTTGCATCTCCAAACTTCCCAGTCCGATCACAAACAGGCTTACCTAAAGAGGCTGCTATACATCCTGATCCTCCGTTGCATTCTGGATAGTCGTCACAGCTTGTCTCTCCTCCTGAAATCCTACAGTGGTTCATGTGAATAGATCCTTTGCCTTGACAGACCAAAGGAACATTCCCTTTGGGAAATGTGATATTCTCAAAATAACATCTGGCGTTGGCAACTACGCAGCCTCTTGTGCAATTCAAAACGGTCCTTGGGCCTAGACCTACAATCTGCTGATCTGTGAAAGTACCAAACAAAGTAAAGTTATACGCTCCTTCGTGCAGCAGCATGGTCTCGTTTTCTTGCGTGGTCAAAGGAAATCTCAGTTGTGTTTCATTGCTTATCTCTCTGATGCGTACTTCTGAAAGCTCTGGAAACTTTTCCCAAAACGTTTTTTCACGACGAAGATTGGAATCGAAATAAACGGCGACTGCTAATGCTGCTCGCGCTTGCCCTTTCAGTTGAGTAGATCCACTTTTAACTAGTTCTTGAAGAGCCCAAGCCTTTCGCTGCAGCGCCTTGCTGTAGTTAGGCTTCAAAGACAGACACTGTTGACAGTCATCTAGAGCATTCTGTGGCTCGCCAAGCTTCAATTGGCAAAGGGCCCTATTGCTGAATAGTCGATAGTCGCCTGACGACAAAGCAATGGCGCTGGAGTAAAGATCTAATGCCTCTTTAAACCTGGTCCTTTCTACTGCAAGATTTCCTTTTTCTCTGAGCTTGTCGGCTTCCTCTTCCTTCTTATTTCGAGAGGCATCTGCTTCAGCCATGTCGTCGTGTCTAGGAAGAGGCTGTCTCATACAACAAGATATCAGCTTGTATTCCCTGTCTTTGAGGGGTACATCGATGAAATAAGGTGGCAAATTAGGATCTTCCCCTGAGGATGACCTCTCGAGGTTGACTAGGAACTGCAGTTTCATTTCTTGCATTGCCTGAGCCTTGACTTTCTCTTGAGAGACACTGAAAAATATCGCTGTCTCATTGAAGATGCGCACGGTTTCTTCTGTGTATAGCAGGGTGGGGACCGATTCTTGATGTTTGGTTGAGAAGGTGCGCAAATGCTCCTGCAAATAAGTGGCATGCGAAGCCAACTTTCCCCACAGCTGTAACGAAGGAGGATTCTCCACACTAAAAACAGCATCATCAACAAAACTTTCGCACACTTCTGACGGCGAACGTGTGCTGGATAATGCATGGTGAAGGACACGAACTGCAATAGTTAGAACGCCTAACTCAGCTTGTTCTTTCTTCATGTCACTTCGGATTACTTCTTGCACCAGACGATGTACACTAAAGGAATGTGTCCCATATCTTTGGAAAAGGGAGAACTTGGTAAGAAGAGACACTATCTCGGCTTGGTCACACATATCGCTAACGGCTTCAGTATCGTCCACTTTGTTGAAGCCTTTATTGATCACTTCATAAGGAATATCGTCGGGGCCAAGAAAGGCAGACACTTTCATCACAAGAGTCGGGATTTCTCCAAGTTCCATCTCCTTTGAGATTTGACTGATGTGGTCAAAATTCAGCAACCATGTAGTGTGGATAGCCAGGCGTTCACGTGAGGTGTTTTCCACCAGATTCCGGGCCTTCTGCTTTTTCAGGAGAAGTAGCTTCTGCTTCTTATATTTCTTCACGTACTCTTTTATGGGCTGATGAAGACATCGTATGTAAGCTGCAGCTTGATCAAGTGCTAAAGGAAGCCCACCAAGCTCTCGTACCAGCTCACGAATCTCACTGTCATTCTCTCCAGCTGTTCCCGTTCGCATTCGCAGAAACTGAATCCCTTCTTCATCTGCCAAGCATTTTAACT